CCCCGGTCTTCCGCGTGACAGGCGGAGATACTGTCCACTATACTAACGAGGAGAGGTGAGACCGTTGTGTGACCAAACCCACAGAATGAGTGGACGGTTAATCTTTCTGAAAGAATCGTGTGGAAAATCAGCTGTGCCAGTATTTTATGAAAGTGAAGTAGTTTTTTCAAATAAAATCAAAAGTAATTTATTTGTTTCACCTAGGCAATTGCTAGGCTCCAGCTGTCCTTGTCAGTGATGGCCACCGGTTGCCTCCCATAGATGACAGATTTGATAGGTTCATGAAACCCAGGTCTGAGCTGAAGTGGAAAACTCTTGTTTCCGCCCGGTCTCGAACCGGGGACCTTTCGCGTGTTAGGCGAACGTGATAACCACTACACTACGGAAACTTCTGACAGTGCTGATTTGCATAATGTCCTGTGAACTCTCTTTCCGTACACTTTGTACTTATTAAATGTCACGAAACATCAGCCGGCAGATTTGATCTATCCATGAATGTGTTGCAGCACACAACAAATGTAAGCTACCCTTTGGAAGACCCGCTTTTCCATGTACTTCACATTTCTAGTATTTCTTGCAATAATGTTTCCGCCCGGTTTCGAACCGGGGACCTTTCGCGTGTGAGGCGAACGTGATAACCACTACACTACGGAAACTATACAGTATTTTACGTTCAGGGACATAGGCCAAACTCTGTTAAACCCTATTAAAATATGGAATTAAAGGAGCGCGGCCAAGGAGGTAACGGAAATCCCGCATGTACCGTCTGCTTCTCATTTCTTGCAATAATGTTTCCGCCCGGTCTCGAACCGGGGACCTTTCGCGTGTTAGGCGAACGTGATAACCACTACACTACGGAAACTACGCATGAGTGAGGCGTTCAGGAACATTCCTCAAATCCTGTTGATCCATACTAGTAGGTTTTAAAGTATGGAATGTGCAGGATCGACGAAATATATTGTTTCCGCCCGGTTTCGAACCGGGGACCTTTCGCGTGTGAGGCGAACGTGATAACCACTACACTACGGAAACTACTGAAAGGTCTCATTTGCATAATGTCGAACCTCGACCGTTTACAGCTTCATAAAATCTTCAGTTAACAGCTGATTCTGGACTCTGAGCTAATGTTTCCTTTAGCGACTCATGCAGTGTAAGATGTGTACATATTTGTAAAATAAACTAACTTGAAATTCACTAACTCCCATTGAACTACTAATTGCAGATGATTTGATCGGCTTCTTAGTAGTGTTGCTTTCGTCAACGAAAATTATGACTAAATATCTTCGTCAACGAACCTTTATCACGTGACGAAAACGAGACGAGACGCAACGTAAATGCTGGTCATGTGACGATAACTATAATTAAATATATAATGCAATATTGTTGACGAATAAAAACGAGACTAAATGTGGTTTACAAAATAAAAACTCTGCTAAAATGTCTCTTCATTTTCGTTGACTAAAACGAGACGAGACGAAATGTTATAACGTCATTTCGACTCGTTTAGTCGAGTTATTATTATTTTGCAGTATTTCTGTTTCCTGTGTCTCACTTCATTTGGTCGCACTGCGCCGACGCACGTGACGTCACTTCCTCAATCCCCACTCGCGGGCGGCATTTAGAAGTTGCAGCTGCGGTTGAACGACAATTTCAGAAATATAACACGACAGAGAAAAGGACCGATGGCCGGCAGCCAGTCGTGGTTCTTCTTTGGAAGAAAAAGACGAAACGACATTTGGACACACTTTCATTACATAGAGGTGAAGTGAAGGTAGAGGTCAGTGAAGTATGTGAAGTTTTTGACAACACTGCTACATGTGACACACATCTGCCCCAATCAGGCATCGGAAATCCCATAATCACCATCTTCTTCTCATTTCTTGCAATAATGTTTCCGCCCGGTCTCGAACTGGGGAGTGTTAGGCGAACGTGATAACCACTACACTACAGACACTACACGTTATCATTTCGTTGAGAGACATAGACGAAAACCTGTTGAGCGATATTAGTAAATAATAAAGTATGGAATGTGCAGGATCGGCGAAACATATTGTTTCCGCCCGGTTTCGAACCGGGGACCTTTCGCGTGTGAGGCGAACGTGATAACCACTACACTACGGAAACTGTGATAGTCAGATCGATGACGTAATTTTTTTCAAATTCAATGAAAATGAGCGAACCATCTGCTTCTTAGTCGACTTCTGTACTGCTGTTTGCCTCAGAGCCGAGCTGCCTGTACCTGTCCCCTATATTGTTTTGTTTTATTTGTTTAACTAGTTTTGTTTACCTCGTTATATAGTTTCTTTTGTGTGTGTGTGTGGTGATAATTTTGCACGTCTTTCACAATTTATTGTTTTTCCCTCATATTTTTGATTGTTTTGACGTGTGTGTGTGTGTGTGTGTGTGTTGGGCACGGAGTGAGGTGAGTGCTCCGTCCTATTAGACCCCCC